TCTCCTTCTCCTTCTCCTTCTCCTTCTCCTTCTCCTTCTCCTTCTCCTTCTCCTTCTCCTTCTCCTTCTCCTTCTCCTTCTCCTTGCCAATAACCAATTCAGTATGATCTTAACAAATAAACAATTGAATGAAGTTTGTAATGCTAAAAAAGAATTGTTAAAAACCCTATATACTCTTAGCCCTTAGTTTTATTTGGTATATTTTAATTCACCCAAAACTTGGAGTTCTTGGGTAGATTGCAAGGTGATTTAAAACATTAGTAATGCTAATGCAATAAAAAGAGTAAAATACCTAAATAAATAGCACAGAATATGCTATGAAAAAACCTGAAAGGCACTGCCCAGGATAATGCAGGCACTTAAAATTCAACCTAAGCATAAGTATGTCTGGAACAAGAGGAATATTTTAGCCTGGCATATGGGGGCACAACTTAGAAAGCTCTGTCCCTTGCAAAAAGAGTCCTCAACAAATTGGAAGAAATCATCATCATCATCATCATTGATTCCCTGGAACTGAACTTGACTCCTATTGTCTAAATGAACATATCCATCTGGCAAAGGGTTATCTGTCTTTGCTTTCTTGCAGGAATGTTTAAGAATTGATTTCCTAGTCTAGCTTATAGCTCTAGAGTTTCCTGGTGGTCCCCAGTCCAAGAACTTCTGACCCTGCTTCGCTTTTCACGATCAGCGCTCAGGTGTTGCCATCTGCTGTACTGCTGAAACCGTCCTTGGGAAGAGAAGAAGGGCGAGCCAAGCACGGCTCCTCCGCCAGAGCATTCTGCACCACGGAACTCCCTAAAGAAGAAACACAATCACAGAGGACCTTTCTGCTTTTCAAATGTTACAGCGTGTGATACTCCAGCTGCAAACTTTTAGTCAACTGAGTAAAGCAAGCCTCATTTCAAGCTAAGTACCTGGCAACTACTCAAACAGCCTTGACTGAAGAAATCATCAAGAGTCAGGAGAGGGCTTCTGGCTTTTTCTTCCTTTCCCACGAAGAAGAAGAAGAAGAAGAAGAAGAAGAAGAAGAAGAAGAAGAAG